GTTTAGTTTTGCCTTCTTTGCCCTCTGTTATAAACAACATAATATATAAAAGAAGACACACAGTAATTGTGATGATGCAAGAGGCCCTGAGAGCCTGTACCTGCATAGTTAAGCAATAATTATGTAATAAATGGTTAAATATGCAGGTACAGGCTCTCTGGGCCTCTTGCATCATCGCAATTACTGTACATCTTCCTTTATATATTATGTCAAAATTTCCCCCGACTGTGGTAGTGCTCTGGAAATTCTTTATTTTCGCTGTCCATATAGAGTTCCATTGTTTTTTGTTAGGGAACATAAATTTGTTAAAAAAATAGGAGGCCATGGTGGCTGAATGGTTAAGGTGTCTTGACATTGTGATCACTAGCCCTCCACCACTACGTCGCAGGTGCCAGGCCTGCATGGGTCAGTGGCCAGGTACTGACCGTAGGTCGGTGGTTTTTCACCTGGTACACTGGTTTTCTTCCATCTCTAAAACCTATCACGTTCTTCAGTGACCATATATGTGTGCATATTAACTGTAATGTAAGAATGTATAGATTCAGAGTATACATGAAACTATTGAAAATAAACTACCCACAAAAATCAATAATTTTACAGGAACAAGGATTTATTTCAGTTACACTGCAAAAAATAGGTTGATACAGGATTAGAGCAGGAAGAACATTGGATTCCAGGTTATGAATATGCTATGCTACTTGGGATTACATGTTTGCCAATATAAATATATATGTATCTGATATATGCAGCTTTAGCTAATGTATAACAAACCAGAGTTCACTTCATACATATGTATTCATGTTGTTCAGGTAAGGCAGGACAGTGTGATACAATACGTCAATGATCAGTGGACGTTAAAAATACCTGTGCTACGTACACTTGATATTTACAGCAGGTTTCCACAGCTAACATACATATTGGCTCCATCTGTTGCTTCACTGGAAAATGATGATCAGGTTTCCGCGTGGCTATTGTTGAATTCCTACGACTGTGTTGTATGGCAAGACGAGAGTTCTGTTAGGAGCATATGTAAATAATTGATAGATCTGTATCTCGTTACTGTATATTACACAGGTGAAACACTACTATGGGTATTTGTGGTGTGTGTAAGGTCAAATATTGAACCTTTTATTTATTAGAAATGATATCATTTGCCGAGTACTATACAGTGAAGCAGGACAGGCCCTGTCGATGACCAGGTAACTAAAGTGATTGGAGTGTCCGTCTAGAGTTTGGAGGGCCCACATTTGAACCTTGGTCTGACTCAGTTGCATTTCCCTTATGTTACATAGTGTAACTTGTTTTTAAGATACAGCAATTGTTTAGGATTTAAGAGATTGAGTCCTTCGATTCTCTGCTTTCTTAAAACTGTTCTCATGCCCAAACTTTGATTCCTAATTTAGATGAGAAGTGTACATTTTTAAATTATTTATAGCTTAAAATTCTGTAGGTGTTCAACCTTAACTTGTAGATAAATAATGTTCTCAGGCTCAGTACTAACTTTATAATCCCATCTCATGGACTTTGATTGCCACATCATATAGTATAGCTTTGTAGCAGAACTGAACTGGGTCAATCCAGTTTGGAGAGTCCCGAGTTCAAACCCTGATCAGCTGGCTGTTGCATTTCTCTTCCATCTGTGTACACGACTTTTCCCAGACACCATTACCTTGTGTCTAGGAAGTAGGATTAGGGCTCCCCTCATGGTTTACTAAGGTGTGAACACCCAAAAAATACCTTAAAGCAGTGCAGAATTTCCGTGTGGCATTTGATATTTTACTGTGATTTTACTTTGGTGCTGCCGTATTTGGTTATTTATGCACTACTATAACCAAGTATTTACGCCTTGGTGGTAAAATCCATATTAGCCCAGTACTAATTCGAGCTGTTTGGGCCCTAAAAGTATGCACGTTTCAGTTTCATATCTCCAAAAACTTACAGCAGGTTTGTTATAAGTAAAACATTTTATCCCTGTAAAGGAATTCAGGGGGATATATAGCAATCATTGAATTTGTCTGTGTACATTTCTTGTCCGGATGCTAACTTCAGAATGCATAAGAACAGAAAGCTTGTACTTATGGGTTAAGTTGCAGAAGAGGAAGAACTATTAATTTGGTGGGTGGTTCTTAACAGGTCAAGGTCACTGATACTGAAAACAGAATTGTATGACTCAAAAAAATTAACATCTTGACAAATTATTGACTGGATAACTTCAGTATATATATTTTTTTATATTTTGCATATATCCCTTTCATCTTTTACTTTATTTCAATCCCGATAGATTCTTTATTAGTCAAGAGCAGTACAAATATTGTCACTTTTGTTTATGTTTCTCAATACACAAATACGTCTAATCTCTTCCTGTATCCAGTTTAATATGTTGATGCTTTATTTGGTTTAGCAATATATAATTTTAGATTTAATTCTTTTGAGAACAAAGTTTAGTGTATTTATCTGAATTTGATCATTTTCACCGATTAAATTATGACTTTAACATATATCTTGAAGTAATTGAAGCCTGTCAGGATACCACACCCATGTCCTAAATACTTTTAACATTGATTGTATACCCTTATGACTGTATATAGTTAATGATTATCCGTCAAAAAACAGATGAAGCTGACTCAAACCTACATAACACATTTGAATATGAATGTTAAACCGCTGACAGATCTATTGTTTGGATTACGTATGTTTACTAATTATGGTTCCAGCTGTTCTAAATCTGAATATTAAATATTTGCTGTAAGATCAATGTGTATTGCATCAATTCCATCTACGTACCAGCAGTATATTCAATTACCGATGTTAATGTAAAACAATGTCATGCCAATATTATATCAACTCTATAAGTCCTGGGCCCTGACGTGGTTCAAAGCAGTTTCACCACCATTTTATGCAAAGCTTTCATCTTGTATATTTTGAAATACATTTAAATTCAAAACTGAAACTGATTTTAAGTTTTAAGCTCACCTGGCCTGAAGGACAGAGGGGAGGGGCCCAATAAGGGAAGCAAAGATAATTTTTAAAATACTTTTCCTTCAGTTCAATTAAGGGGATTTCATTAAATTTTCTTTAGAGCATCTTCGACCCAAGGAGGCACAGTGCTGTAGAAAAATAACCCAANGGGGGGGGGGGGGGGGGGGGGGGGGGCATATTTGAAAATACATGTAGAGGTCAATTTTTAAAATCCTATTCCTTGAGTATTGGTTAGAGTATTTTAGCCAAATTTGATCTGGAGCATGCTTGCGACAAAGGGACACATAACTTAGTGAAAAGAGATCTTAGGGTGTTGTTCCTGTGAGGCAAAAGGGCAGGCACAACGGATGAAATGGAGGTAAATCATTAAAATCCTATTCCTTGAGTTTGGGTAAAACGTTCCCCTGGGAGAGAAGGGCTGGTCCATAGATGACATGATTTTGTTTAAATCAGCTCGGAGGAATCCTTGGATCAAAGGACTCAACGTTGTATAAATGGAGGGTTTGGCACCCCCGTCCACCTTGCCCCAATCTTGGGGCAGAGGGGGCGGGGCCCAAGAAGTGCAAGAGAGGTACGGAGGTACATCTTTAAAATCCTTCTCTCCCCATATGATTGAAGGAATATGAACCAAGGATTATATCTCACACCAGGAAAAGTATGAATACACCTCTCCAGGGTAAGGTATGGCTGCACTGTTTGCAAATAGGCCCGCCCTGATTGTGATATATACAATTATATAGACTCATTACAAAACGGTGCTTGTTACAACTTATCAGCTCATCAGGCTCAAATGGCCAAGTGAAATGTTGCAATCCATTGCCATCCGTCGACTGTTGTCAGTCAACTTTCACTTTAAACAACATATTCTCAATAACCACTGGAAAGATTTTAATAAAATTTGTATGCAAGTATAATTCCTAGGTGATGGGGAACCAGATTTGCAAAGGTTAAGGGAAAGACCCAAGAGTCATGTTATTTAGCCAGTTACTTCTTTGCATGACATTCAAATGTGTTAAAACACCCAAAAGACTTCTTTTAAATAACCAGAAGGTTTTAGACAGGTCTTTCATTAGACTCTTAAGGGTGTCTTTCTGTCTCCCAAAAATAGCTGACTCTTGCATTTGAAAGGACATGTGTTTTGATTCTCCAAAATAAAGGGGGAAATCATTTTGACTCCTAAAATTGCTAAATGCCAAAAGTAAATTGAAAGCCCTGTTTAGTCATAATATTTAGCCTGTAGCTTGCTGACATCACATGGAGTGCTACACAGTATGTGAAATGAAATGACCTTGACCTATAGTTAAGGTGGCAAATTTGTACATCACTCTAATGACTTTGTCTGAAGAACTAAATGGACTAGAATCATGGTGGTAGGTAGGTGGTTTGCTAGCATATATAAACAGTACTACGTATACAGAGTTTGTGAAATGAAATGACCTTGACATATATTTAAGGTCATAGTGGTCTAATTTGTAGAATAATTTAAACCTCAATTAACTTCTTCTGAGGAACCAAGAGGCTTTAATATAAGGATAATGGTATTTGGTCAGTAACCCGTTGGCTTGGAATGGCCTTTGAAATTCCTGCGTATTAGCTGGAATACAGAAGTGGTGGTCAAAGGAAAAATGTGTGGTTATATACCCCCACTTGAATAAAGTTGGAGGTGCATGTATATAGTATTCATATTGTGCATGTGAGCATCCATTCCTGTTTCTGGCCATTGTTTAAGGTCTGGATGTCATATTTGGTATGTAGGTACATAATGTGAAGGTATGTGTTGTGTCGCATGCCAAACAAACGTCATCACATCAGCTTATTATTGGTAGTATGTGTCTCTAGATGTGTGTTTAGATTTCCTGGTAGGCATGTCTTTCTTTTTATTTTCTCCAGGATGGTGCAGGATAGAAAAATGCTGGTCCCTGTCAACAATCTGCTATTTCCAGGGTACTAACCAAAACTTAGGACTATTCTAGCTCATGTACCACTTTACTGACATTCATGGTTGTGTTTTGTTTCCGTAGTTGCCTGCCCTGAGGGACAATGATGGCCCATTTGACGCTGTGTGCAGTGATCAGTATGGTCGTCCCCTTCATCAGCAGTCAGACCTCGGTCAGTCTACTGGACACGGCCATGATGGTGCAGGAAGGTCAACAATTTGCTATTCGTGTCAACAGGTCGGGAGACTTTGAATCAACTTTCTATGTCATTGTGGCCGTAAGTATATGGCCATATTTTACATTTATTGGCCAGGTATAGTAGAGAAATATAAAACCTTATTATTTCCGGAACTGAAGCCCTAGGGAAAAAGGGCAAGAAATTATTATTATTGAATCAACTTGCAAAGAGATCATATATATCTTTCATCAACTTACTGATATTTCTGTTGAAAAAAATTGCTTTTCTTGAGGATGAAAATTTCTCAAACCATATGCTGATGCAATGCTAGGAAATCTATCTATAGATGCACAAGTTTCCCATTTATTTGGGAAGCTTAACATCAGGTTAATGACATGGACAAATATGGGGCAAAAGTGTTGAGTGTATATCTAAACCACTTCAACATCCAATAAAACATACATGTTGAGATAAATGCTCAGGCATCTGTGACCAAATGTGACACTTTGAATGGGGGCCCACACTGCTGGGAGATATGATGTTGTGTTTCCTAGTCATGTGATCAGGTTTAATTACAGATATAATAGTACTTATCGCATAAGAGCTAAGTTGATTTTTTTCATAGTTTAATCTCCTGCAAATAGCACATCAGATTGATAGGCTTAATAATAATTCATAAGCCAATGTTGATCCAACTTGGTCCTGTAATGGGGGGATGGGGGTATGCATTTAACATTGTTCTAGTGTGTGCAATTGGTGCAAAAAGGTTAACACATATACAGGAAGCAATAATGATTGACTTTGAAAAATGTTCTGTTGTTTTATTGGCTGAAGCATTACTGACATCTCCCTATGCTGTTCTGAGAGCTTTTTAAGTGTATTATTTTCATGCCTAAACCCTCAAAATGAATGGAAAATATCAATAAGCTAAAGGAAGTAGTGTGTTTCAGTTAATGCATATTGGGAAGTTACATGTATATCATAAGTTACTAATAGGAAGTTTTATCATAAGTTACTGTTAAAAAATGACATGTATAATATGTTTTACTCCCAGGTATCCTCCCCTCCTGATACAGACCTGGATTTCATCGGTAGCAGTCACGTGGGTTCATTCAGCCCCGGTGGTCCCAACATCATCTCCGTCATCTTCACTGTCAACAATGATACGATACCAGAGGTAGAGGAGACCTTCACCCTTCAGCTCTCGGTAGTCAACCCAGGGGTCACAGTTCAACAGCCAAGCAAGGCTGCCATCACCATTGCCGCTAACGATGATGCGTATGGGGCCTTCAGCTTCCTTGATGTAAGTGAAGTATCAGAGACGGTATATATCCCTTTTATTTAGCAGACATAAACACAGTATGATGGCTGGAAACTTTGGGAATTACCTAATAAACTTTGAATGGAAATTTATCTATTTCTTTTTAATGTGAACATTTTCAGGTGAGAAACAATATTTGAGGAGTATTTCTAAACATTTTCTTCAGGTTGGTAAGTATGGATTATGAGAAGTTCTTTTTTACACAACCAATAATACGTCACATAGAAAATATTATACATTGTGTAAAAAAGAACTTTTCATAAAAGATATTTGTGGAGCATTTCAAAAAGTTTGGTGTTTATTTCAATGAAGTGAGATCAACTTTGAATTAATATGTATTTAGATTTTGCTTCCAGAAGAACATATTTAATTTCCTAATTTTCCAGTTGAATGCTTTATAGCATAAAGCACTTCAGAAAATGAGAGAGAAAAAAAAACCACAAAAAACCCTGGAAACCTAGGTAGGCAAAAAGGATGTCGAATTTAGAGAAATAGATTTACAAGCTTCGATATGCCATGTTTAAAAAAGTAAAGGTGGTAAGTCCTTAAATACCCAGAGCAACCTGAATGTTTAAGTTACCTATGAAATCGTAAAAAAATATGTTGTTTTGACGTTAAACTTAATTTGTTAACTTTCCTTTTGCAGCAATCACCAATTTTGGTCACAGAGGACATATCGGGTACTACAGATGTATATCTGGGTGTAATCAGGTCTCGAGGCTCGCATGGGGAAATCATAGTTTCTTTCTCAGTGAGTACAATTCTGCTTATGTTGATAAAACGGAACTATCAGTTTAGAAAATCGGTTAAATCTAAGATCATGTTTCATTATCATTGAATTGTCCAACCTCTTGTTGAAAGTTAATAAGCAGTTTCCAAGGAGACAAAATGAAGTGATAATAAATGATCATGGGGTATAAAGTAATTGTTTACAGTAATTCTAAGTAGTGGTTGGGGTCACGAAAAAGTGTAATTATAGAAATAGCCATTGCATAAATTAATATATATATCATTTTAAACGTTGATTTAGAGATGTTGTGTTCCGATATATTCCACCCAAATTATTAGCAAGACTACAAATTTTATCAAATTATACTTAATTCCAGATGATGATCTTTAATACGTAAATATAAGCAATGAAACAGTAGATATGGTATTTCTGTGACTGTAATACGCAGTGATACAGTAGATATGATATTTCTGTGACTGTAATACACAGTGATACAGAAGATATGATATTTCTGTGACTGTAATACACTGCGATACAGTAGATATGATATTTCTGTGACTGTAACACACAGTGATATCGTAGATATGATATTTCCGTGACTGTAATATACAGTGATACAGTAGATATGATATTTCTGGATCACTGTATATTACAGGCACAGAAATATAATATCTACTGTATCACTGTGTATTACAGTCACAGAGATATCATATCTACTGTATCACTGTGTATTAAAGTCACAGAAATATATCTACTGTTACAATAATCACTGTGTTTTACAGTCACAGAAATATCATATCTACTATATCACTGTGTATTACAGTCACAGAAATATCAAATCTACTGTATCACTGTGTATTACAGTCACAGAGATATCATATCTACTGTATCACTGTGTATTAAAGTCACAGAAATATCATATCTACTGTATCACTGCGTATTACAGTCACAGAAATATATCTATTGTATCACTGTGTATTACTGTCACAGAAATATCATGTCTACTATATCACTGTGTATTACAGTCACAGAAATATATCTACTGTATCACTGTATATTACAGGCACAGAAATATAATATCTACTGTATCACTGTGTATTACAGTTACAGAAATATCATATCTACTGTATCACTGCATATATCAGTCACAGAAATATATCTACCGTATCACTGTGTATTACAGTCACAGAAATATATCTACCGTATCACTGTGTATTACAGTCACAGAAATATCAAATCTACTGTATCACTGTGTATTACAGTCACAGTGATATAGTAGATATGATATTTCTGTGACTGTAACACACAGTGATATCGTAGATATGATATTTCCGTGACTGTAATACACTGTGATACAGTAGATATGATATTTCTCTGACTGTAATACACAGTGATACAGTAGATCTATTTCTGTGACTGTAATATACAGTGATATGATATTTCTGTGAGTGTAATACACAGTGATACAGTAGATATGATCTTTCTGTGACTGTAATACACAGTGATACAGAAGATATGATATTTCTGTGACTGTAATACAGAGTGATACAGTAGATATGATATTTCTGTATCTGTAATACACAGTGATGCAGTAGATATGATATTTCTGTGACTGTAATACAGAGTGATACAGTAGATATGATATTTCTGTAACTGTAATACACAGTGATACAGTAGATATATTTATGTGACTGTAATACACAGTGATACAGTAGATATTATATTTCTGTGCCTGTAATATACAGTGATACAGTAGATATATTTCTGTGACCGTAATACACAGTGATACAGTAGATATATTTCTGTGACTGTAATACACAGTGATACGGTAGATATATTTCTGTGACTGATATATGCAGTGATACAGTAGATATGATATTTCTGTAACTGTAATACACAGTGATTTAGCAAGACTACAAATTTTATCAAATTATACTTAATTCCAGATGATGATCTTTAATACGTAAATATAAGCAATGAAACAGTAGATATGGTATTTCTGTGACTGTAATACGCAGTGATACAGTAGGTATGATATTTCTGTGACTGTAATACACAGGGATACAGTAGATATGATATTTCTGTGACTGCAATACACAGTGATACAGTAGATATGATATTTCTGGATCACTGTATATTACAGGCACAGAAATATCATATCTACTGTATCACTGTGCATTACAGTCACAGAAATATCATATCTACTATATCACTGTGTATTACAGTCACAGAAATATCAAATCTACTGTATCACTGTGTATTACAGTCACGGAAATATCATATCTACGGTATCATCATATCTACTGTATCACTGTGTATTACACTCACAGAAATATCATATCTACTGTATCACAGTGTATTACAGTCACGGAAATATCATATCTACGGTATCATCATATCTACTGTATCACTGTGTATTACACTCACAGAAATATCATATCACTGTATATTACAGTCACAGAAATAGATCTACTGTATCACTGTGTATTACAGTCACAGTGATATAGTAGATATGATATTTCTGTGACTGTAATATGCAGTGATACAGTAGATATGATATTTCTGTAACTGTAATACACAGTGATACAGTAGATATTATATTTCTGTGCCTGTAATATACAGTGATCCAGAAATATCATATCTACTGTATCACTGTAATATACAGTGATACAGTAGATATATTTCTGTGACCGTAATACACAGTGATACAGTAGATATATTTCTGTGACCGTAATACACAGTGATACAGTAGATATATTTCTGTGACTGTAATATACAGTGATATGATATTTCTGTGAGTGTAATACACAGTGATACAATAGATATGATATTTCTGTGAGTGTAATACACAGTGATACAGTAGATATGATATTTCTGTGCCTGTAATATACAGTGATACAGTAGATATATTTCTGTGACTGTAATACACAGTGATACAGTAGATATGATATTTCTGTGACTATAATACACAGTGATACAGTAGATAAGATATTTATGTGACTGTAATACGCAGTGATACAGTTGATATGATATTTCTGTGACTGTAATACACAGTAATACAGTTGATATGATATTTCTGTGACTGTAATACACTGTTATACAGTAGATATGATATTTCTGTGACTATAATACACAGTGATACAGTAGATAAGATATTTATGTGACTGTAATACGCAGTGATACAGCAGATATGATATTTCTGTGACTGTAATACACTGTGATACAGTAGATATGATATTTCTCTGACTGTAATACACAGTGATACAGTAGATATGATATTTCTGTGACTATAATACACAGTGATACAGTAGATATGATATTTATGTGACTGTAATACGCAGTGATACAGTAGATATGATATTTCTGTGACTGTAATACACAGTGATACAGTCACAGAAATATATCTACTGTATCACTGTGTATTACACTCACAGAAATATCATATCACTGTATATTACAGTCACAGAAATAGATCTACTGTATCACTGTGTATTATAGTCACAGAAATATCATATCTACGGTATCACTGCATATTATACAGTCACAGAAATATCATATCTGCTGTATCACTGCGTATTACAGTCACATAAATATCTTATCTACTGTATCACTGTGTATTCCATTCACAGAAATATCATATCTACTGTATTACTGTGTATTACAGTCACAGAAATATCATAGCTACTGTATCACTGTGTATTAAAGTCACAGAAATATATCTACTGTTACAATAATCTTTGACTGTGTATTACAGTCACAGAAATAACATATCTATTGTATCACTGTGTATTACAGTCACAGTAATATCATATCTACTGTATCACTGCGTATTACAGTCACATAAATATCTTATCTACTGTATCACTGTGTATTTCAGTCACAGAAATATATCTACTGTTACAATAATCTTTGACTGTGTATTACAGTCACAGAAATATGATATCTACTATATCACTGTGTATTACAGTCACAGAAATATACCTACTGTATCACTGTGTATTACACTCACAGAAATATCATATCACTGTATATTACAGTCACAGAAATAGATCTACTGTATCACTGTGTATTAGATATATTTCTGTGACTGTAATACACAGTGATACAGTAGATATGTTATTTCTGTGACTGTAATACACAGTGATACAGTTGATATGATATTTCTGTGACTGTAATATGAAATGTAATATTTAACAGTAGAACCTCTGTTTTACAGATAAACAGTTCTGACGTTAATGCCCAGCCTGGTCAGGACATCATACCAAGGTCTGGCACCATCTCGTTCAAGGACGGAGAGACCAAGAAATACATAAAACTCGAGATATTGGCAGATGACGTGAGCATATTACACACAGACATGTCACCAAAATAACTTTTTTTGAGTTCCTCCACATTGAGCCTATTTTAGGATTAAAGTACATTAGTGTCTTTTGGTCTGTTAAAGGCTTGTGGTTATTATTCATTCTCCTTTTGATGGCCTACACTAAAAATTTTGAGCCAAGTTTGGACAAATATATACTGATGAAAATCAAGGTCCTTGTTCTATGGCACCAATGTAAACATTTGTAGTAAGTATGAAAATTCTTCCCCTACCTACTGACTCAAAGATTGCTAGAGTGTAAAATGAAACACACACAATTGTTTGGGCTTGATCAATTCTTGTTTATGTGGAAAAAGCGGAGTTCATTGCAAAGTATATACATTGCGCAAAATTTATTCTCATCTATGTTTTTTCTTAGATGGTACTACATATAGAAATGTGGTAAAGTAACAATGATTTGAGAATCAAACTTTAAAATTCTATTAATATTGTACACTTTCATGAACTCAGTTTCCGGAAAATGATGAGGCATTTGAGGTCAAATTTACGAAAGCTTCCCAGGATGCCCGAGTGTCCACTACTCCTCAGACTGTAATCATCATGGCTAATGACGCTCCAATACGATTCAAACAGGTGAGGATATTTTCTGGGGCGTATTGTTTAACCTCATTCTTCATATCATCACTTTTATACGGCTTGTGCTTTTATAAGTTATGAAAAATGTCTGTGAAAGTTGTCTTTTCGTAATTTAAATAAGATACAACAATAAAATTTATATCGTTTCAGAGGGAATACTTATTGATGAAAATCTATTTCTTCAATAAATACTGTGTTAAAATAATATTCAAAGTGATTACCTGTTGTTAAAATGATCTATAAATATTATGATGTGCCAAATATTACAACATGGCTGTGTGTACATATTGATAAAATGATACGTAGCCACACTGACAAATAAACATCAGTCCACCTGAAGAAGCCCAAGAAGGCAGAAAGGTCCAACGGTCAATCTTGGATACTTATTATTTTATTCTATATATGTTACAGAGTGAAATTCGTGTTAAGGAGGAAGAAAAAGAGATCCTGGTTCAAGTTTACCGAGGCATTGATAGTGATGGGTCAAATGTAGGGTCATTCGGTGCGATAGCCTCTGTAGACTACATTGTAACCCCAGACACGGCCAGAGCTGAAGTGGACTATCGTGGAGGAAACGGTCAGGTGGTATTTGGGATCGGAGAAGTAGAAGGTACAATCAAGATAACCATAATAGATGACAGTGATCCAGAGGTAGAGGAGAGTTTTGACATCACCCTGAGGACATCTGTTGGTGACGTAGTATTGATGCCCCCTACTAAGATCCGGGTTATCATCAACGCTAACGACGAACACAACGGCATTCTCACATTCTTTTCGCCAGATTCGTTAACCCCGCCTCTGGTGAAAGTTAATGAGGATAGCTTTTTCACCTATGCTGTTTACAATATTCTGCGAACAGCCGGTACATTTGGTACAGTGACAGTTCGCTGGGAAGTATATAGAAATGACAGTGAGACTGGCGACGTTAAGGGGGACATAACTCCAAGCGACGGAGTACTTGTGTTCCCTGAGGGCACAATTCAACAGGTCATTAACATTACAGTGAACCAGGACACCATCGCAGAACCGACTGAAAGATTTGTGGTACACCTGATAACGGGCAGTGTCACGGGCGGTGCTAACGTGGAGGGCATTACTTATGGCGTCCTTGTCATTGAGGACAGTGACTTCTATTACGGCACTGTGGAGTTTGGGTCGGAATTTGATCAGAAAATTGTCATTGTACGTAATATTTTAGTGTATCTGATTGTTTTTTACTCCTAATTTCATTGTTTGTGTTGTACAAATTGCAGAATATGTTATTGTACTTCAAAGCCTCATTATATTGCCATCATTTGTTCACCCAAATTTTGGTGTCATTAGGGGTTTGATGTTTAGCTCCTTTTCAATGAAAGTGTTGACAGAATCATGCTTTTTTTAACAAACATTTTCTAGTTTGTCTCTAACATCTGATGCCATTTTTATTAACTACAGAAATTTGGTATTTAGTTTTTGCGTGTGGATTAAGTTAATGAAAAATAAGTGAAAGTTTTCTCGTGGTAAAAAATTGTTAAATAATCATTATCTTTGTTATTTTTTCTAAGATGTGTTTCCTTTTTTCCTTTGCAGACTACTAGCCCACGCCACTTACAACTGATGTTGACTAGAACAGGTCTTAACCGGGGTAATCTGATCATCAACCTCACTGTCACCTACACTGGAGATCCTGGGAATGACTTAGGTAAGGATATACAATTAACCGTTAAATATGTTCCAACCATTATAATTGTTTAACTTGGTTGATGAAAGTGAAATAAGGTTACTTGATTCTAGGATTTGTAATGTGTCAACAGTATGGTTAAACTGCAATCTAATGCCACAATCAATTTGCAACCTCCATATCCCCTATCTCCTTTGTTTTTTTACCAATTCCTTTATAAAATGCCTCATCCAGACCCTTTTGTAAGGTTTCTTTTAAAATCTCTATGATATATTTGCAGCTGTTTTGGAGAAAACTGACTACACAGTAGAGTTTGCTGTGGGCCAGGCTAACCGTATTGTTCAAGTGCCTCTCCTATCAACTGCCTTCCTCCAGGTCGGGGGTGTGTTTGTCGCCAGGCTGAAGGGAATAGAACTCCAGTCAGGTTTGTTCTGTATCATAGGATCTAACAAGCTCTGTATGTTTCAGAGAGGACTTGTCAAGTTATCACACAGGCTTTGAACATATATTTATTGATATACAAGCCACCAAATATCCTCTTATTTATTTGAGATAATATTTTAAAAGCTTTGAGAGAAAAATTTGGGAATTGTTTGGAAGAAAATATAAAAAAAAGATATTGATAAGAAAGTGATTCATTGTTATGTCATTTGACCAATGTTAATTTTCTTCCGCATACAGTCCCTAGCCTGGGAGCATATAACAGTCCTGTGTTTGGGTCAAGAACTGAACTGAACATACCGGTCACTCTCATTGAGGCCAACGGGGAAATAGGGTTCCACAGCACGGCAACAGCGACCATCAATGAACCGGACACAACACCCTACCAGGTCAGATCACTACGTACATTGAGAGAAATAACTGAAATGAGTTAATAGGTCTCTGTTAAATCATCATCTGACAACAGGTATCATCATCTGACATCAGGTATCACCATCTGACAACAGGTATCACCATCTGACAACAGGTATCATGGACTGGGTTAACAGAATATCACCATTATGATATTGCATGCACTATATATATTAATAGTATTTATAGTAATATATTGCAAACTGATGCCATACATTTGTCTTCTGACCATTATTTGCCGTATATATCTTGCAATGAGCCCTAGGGGTCTAACACATATAACTCGGAAAGAAGTAAGGTGGGCTTATTACAGGATAATGAAACAGAATTTGTTGACATTTCTACTGACCTGCTGTATATATGAAATGGGTGAGCTTATTACCAAGCATGGATTTATTTCCGAATAAAGACTGTAAATTCAAGATCAATGATCATGAACTATATATGACTACTACATTTGTTTTAGGTTTTAATCGAACTGTTGTATTTCTGCACTCAGAGTAAGGCTGATGTGAAAAAAAAGGAAATGGAGATTGTTTCTTCTTAATTGGAGGTGACCAATCTTAAAAACTTTAAATGCATCATTTAAAAGTTAGCACTAACACAATTTTCATCAGTGAATAGCATAATATCTAATATTATCATCAATAGGATGTTCTGTGAAATAATTTGTTTTTAGTAAAACTGGATATGTAGATCCTAAATGTGACTTTTGTATTTCAAACTGTGTTTGGTAAATTAATGTTTTATTATTTGAAACAAACAGGTGTTACTTCAGCTGACAAGGGAGGGTACAAGTGGTCAAGCGGTCATCAGCTGGATGCTGACCGGGTCAGCCACAGTAACTGCCTCAGACACTGGTCCAACTTCAGGAACCATCGTCATGGAAAGTGGTGTGTTAGAAAAGTTTGATAAATTAGCCAAAATGTTTAATGATCTAATGAAGTTTTTAGCCAGACTTCCAAGAATCATCTGCTATATACTCACATTTCTCAGTGGCATTGACTTTCTCGTCCATTTTCTCCACTTAATTCTTGACCTCAATGCCCTTAAGTTCTCATTGCCAATGTCCATAGAAGACTTGTTCTTTTTTCTTCTCCTGGATCTCTTTCTTGGCTCATTCATTTCTTTAGCATTAGGTTAACTCTTCAACCTTGAAGACACATTTAAACCAATTTCAACCAATTCAAATGTTGAAATAGTTCATTATGAAATTACATGGATGTTTGATGCATACTTACGAAGATCGAGATTAATGCGATGCATTCATTAATTGAAATTTCTTCAGTTTAGTAATTTTCCCGTCCTTGTGTTTCCAGGAAAGTCGGAGGTCACTTTGATCATACCTATAATGCCTGACAATGAACCAGAGTTGGAGGAGGAAATAACAGTGACCTTGACCTCCGTGTCTCCCTCAGATACGCAGCGTCTCAAGGACACAGCATCTCGGGTCAAAATTATAATCCTAGAGAATGACAATCCTGGTGGAACCTTTCAGTTTGCAGCCTCCATGCAGAGTTCTTATCTTGTTGAGGTAATTATTGATCGTAACCACTAAAATCAACTCTTCATTTTAGCACTAAATATGTTTCTTTTAACAAATGCATTTCAGTGTTGTTGATATTAAGCAAAGTTGTTTAGAAGTGTTTTTGCACCAACATATTGAATGGTATCCTTTTGACAGTGTGTATTTATAATGTACCATGCACTATCTTATCACATAATTTCCCGATCATTTTCCTAGCATGTATATATAAACCCTGAACCCTTTGCCCTGGCACTTGTCACCTGCAAATATTATATAAACTCCAGGAGGACCATCCATTGCAGCAAAAGAGATGTGTACATATTTGTTCAGATGCAGTTTTTAGATAATAGTAATTTCCAGTTTATTTCTTTTATCAGAAACTGAAAATGTTTCAAACTGTTTATTGACGTTGATTCTGAAGATCAGCTTGACATGAAATGTAGCCGCTGGTATCATACATTGGGTGTCCCGTAGATTTAAAACTTTGTAACTAACTTCTTAAACTCTTGATGCTAAATGACTGAATTTAATAAAAGTAATAAACTTGTATCAAAGTCATCTTATTTGAAGACACAATGTAAAATATCTAATGACCGGCCCTTTCAAAGGATTGAATTATGGTATGGCATTGTCTGTCTGTGAACATTTTATTTAGACGACTACTACTTAAGTTTCCATCAGATTACGTTAAAACTCATTAGGGTCTACTACGTCAGATGAAGTTATTCATATCGACCCATTCATGACTTGTAGAGTTATTGCCCTTTGTGTACTAAGTTATCTCAACCGCTCTCAGTTTCCATTTGATTTCTAACAAAGCTTGATCGGATTTCTCACTACCATTTTTGGATGTGCATTTGGCTTCAACATATTGATCCAATACTGTTAAGTGGATTACAGCCTTTTGCACTTTGATCATAACAAAATTGCACGGTTAAATATAGTCTTTCAATTTCCATACAATTTCTTTGTGTACATGTTTACCTTAAGCACATCAAATTTTTCCACACAACCAACCTGTTAATTTTCAACTGATACTATACTATACTATCATTTATTCCAATTTCGTTTTTTGAGAAGAAAGATACCACCTGTTCCTAATGTCTCTTAGTTGCAAAGGTTTATTAGATTTTCAAGTGTGTTGCCAGTCTTCTAGTACTCAAATATAGGATCTTATGAATAGTTATATGCACATGTATATTGTTTTATAAATAAATACTGTTAGATAACAAGAGTATTGCAAAGTGTAACACACACTTCGGGACCGAAGGGTTGCGTGTTCAAGTCACGGCATGTCACTGTGTTGTACCTTTGAGCAAGATTCTTTACTCCGCTTGTTCCAGTCTACTCAGCTGTAAATGAGTATGTGGTTGGGCAGTGCTAGAATAGTTGAATGCTAGCTGTTAGCGCCGAAATAGCAGCTCCGGCTGTATGCTCCCCAGGGAGTTGAGAAAGATATTGGCTGGTTGCAAAGGCCATATAACCATGGATAATAATTTATGAACCACTTTGAGACGACCTATGAACTAGGTTATAATAAAGCGGTATTTTAGAACCTCAAATTAATTATCATTATTATTATCCTCACATCCTTTACAGGAGCTTACTTTAGGTAGTAAAGAGGTGAGTATGCATGCACTGGCCGAGGATTTCATAGTCTTTTTCTTACCTCCTGATGTGGCTATTATAGTGAGGCTGTGGCTGAAGGGAAATGGCTTTAGTGATAGTGTTTTTGTAAATTGAAGCCTAATTTATAGATTTTGGATATTATCTTCCTTAGTAAAAAAGCAAAGAAAAGATTTTTAGTATCTTCTCCAATTGCGTGTACTCTTTCCTGCAGTAGTTTCTAAACAATATTTGCAGCTTTTGAAAGATGACATGGTAGGCTAACATAAAACAAGCTTCTTTTAGTAATTTAGATGAATTTTATTTCAGGCATGCTTCTTTTAATTTGTGCATGAATGAACATATAGAATTTTAAATGTCAATCTTAGAACTGCATTGTCCACATGACAGCAGGCTTTTTGTGGCTTTCTTGATCAGAGATCCTGTGTATTTGGTTACCATATGAAATTAGAATAAAATAGAAGATATCTTTCCTGTATGTAGTTAGAATCTGTGTATGATAAAGCACAACTTTAATTATATCCCATTGAAAAAGAGTGGTATTGGAAAAAAAAGAGAAAATGAAAGTATCAAAACATGAAATTAATCGAAATACATATTTATTAAAAAAGAAAAGTTACTGATTGTATAATCATGCATGTTGATCTATTGTGGAAAGGACAGGTAATCTGGTAACACCTCATTTGATTGATATTTAATTACTTACAATTACTGAGGTAACCAGTGCCATTGATTTGAAATATGTTTACTAACAATCCTTACTATTATTTTCATTTAAAAATATTCACACAGGTAGTGACAATTTTCTGAATTAATAATAATCAAAGGCAGATAAAACATTTTGACAGAACCTCCTCATGCTTGTGAAACTGGATGACTGTAGTATCCTTAAACATGTATGTTTTTTCACATTCTGTATTGTTGTTTTGTGTTGTAGGAGGGCAGTGCAGCTATCGATGTGATAGTGGAGCGGACAGGTGGAGACTTCATCACCCGATTTGTCCAGTACACAGTCGAGTCCAACGGTTTGGACGATGGTGCCGATGAATTCTTCGGAGCAAACAATGTTCTTCGGTTTGATCCTGGTGTTAGGTTTAGGAATTCTACCCTACTGGCAAAGATGGACAACGTCCCTGAGGTGAGTACCGTACTCCAGTACTCACATTCCATGCCCAGGTGTTCAAGTCTTGCTTAGTTCTTGGATTTATAATCACAAATATTAATTTTAGCTAATGCTTTTCATCAAGACAGAAGTTATTTTTAAGCTAAAATTGTTTCTATATAGCAACTCAGATTTATTTTCTGAAAGTACGAATTCAAACTCAGAAATATCTCAAATATTTTCTTTAAAACCTTTAGTTCATAAAACTTTGGAAAAACTATGCCCAAATGGTGAGACTCCATTTCTGCTTTCATTTTCTGACAATCAATATTTCAAAAAATTGAGGAATTCAATGATCTGAACTAAGAATATATTTTAATACAGATATAAAATAGAATAAAAAGGGAATAGAAAAAATATTAATCAATACACATTTTTTATATCTGATTCTTAATTATAACTTATAGAAGTTTGATATGAAATAATGAATACAACACAATACTAAAAAAAAATAAAAAAATAAAAAGTGATTTGTACACACAGAATTATTTATATCAACAAAATAGAAAATTATATTGACATTATGTAATAGGAATTAATTGTCTGAGGAAAATATTACAAAGTTCCATGACAAAGCATCCCCTACCTGTCAAAGAGGATAACTGTATATTCTACTCAACATCAAAAAGTCATTGACATAGCAAAATTATCTAACTCTAAGTTCCATCTGTTTTATACTGGATGTAGGTGGTGTGTGTTAGAGAATTTTATCTTGTTTTCCAGAAATTAGAGAGCTTTGTTCTCCGACTACAGACCTATGGCAATGTGTCGGCCTCCATTGGAGCCAAGTCGAGGATTCTGGTCAACATCTCGGCCAATGATGAGCCCTTTGGTGTAATACAGTTCCCAAATAACTCAAACACCTTTGTGATAGGTAAAGATCAAACAGAATTTACTTTGTTTAAATTTGTTATTGTGTTCTAAGCAAATGTACTTGAAGCTATTAAATTGTTCTTTTTGTAAAAAATATAATGATGTTAGGATTGTAGTATATTGGAGTTGGTAAAGACATTTATAAATTTCTTTAAATGCTACGTTCTAAGGTTTGGTTTTAGTAAACTTGTAACTATCATTATTAGTGCCCTAGTAACTATCATTATTAGTGCCCTTGTAACTATCATTATTAGTGCCCTAGTAACTATCATTATTAGTGCCTTAGTAACTATCATTATTAGTACCCTAGTAACTATCATTATTAGTGCCCTAGTAACTATCATCATTATTAGTGCCTTAGTAACTATCATTATTAGTGCCTTAGTAACTATCATTATTAGTGCCCTAGCTACTATCATTATTAGTGCCCTAGCTACTTTATAGGAATGGGGCGACTAAGGATAGAACTATATTTGCCTTTCTTCTTGTACAAGTGATAACTTCAAAGTTAGGTTTTTTTGTGTTGTTAGATAAGGATGCATCATGGCATTATATTGTATATCTTCTTGTGTTTGTTTGGCGGATAATTTGTGAATATTTCATAATGAAACTTCATATTCCGTAGTTTAAGATTACTGCCAGGGATCAATTTATTAGAGTCAAGTGTTAGGCTTTATCTGGGCAATGACTTTGGTGGGTGGGGGGGTTGATAATGTGTGACAAAATGTTCACAATGTCACGGAATAACAAATGTTGTGTCTTCTGGTAATGATGTATCACGACTGTATAAAGTTTTGTGTTTGGAAATGTGTATTATAAACAAGTCCTTAATGAAATGAGGATTGAGAGAGAAATGGAGTAGTGTGATATAGAAAGACAGAATTTATGCATAATTTCTCCTCCTCTTCATAAAATTGAAATACTAAAAATAAAATGTTTGATAGTAGCAAGTGTTACGTTAAAATAAAATTTCCATCAACAGGTGAAAGTAAGGTTTCAGATTTACAAGCGATGTCCATCCAAGTGGAGCGAGCCCGCGGGATGTTTGGAACAGTCGTGGTCATGTGGACCGTTGATCCTATGGATAATTCTGACCTGGTACCAACAGCAGGCTCTATAACCTTCGGTGAAGAACAAAACCAGGGCTTTATCAGGGTTGAGTCTGTGCCCGATGAGGTATGGTTGCTTGGTAATTTCCATGTTGATACCAAAAGAAGATTTAATTCTCTCAAGATTAAATATAACTTAATAGCTCAAAATCTGAAGATTTATTAATACCAAGTCATTATTTTTTCCCATAATTGAGACTTATGAGGGAAGAAAAATAAGGAAATAAATAAAACTTGCAATTTTGATTCCATCAAGTGATTTAATTTCTATTGATTAGAATCCGTATTTAGAAAAAAACACATACATGCCAATATTTTGCTTACAGTTCCCAATTTGATATCAAAAGTTTGCTATTTCAACATTTTAAATGTGCAGGAACTCGCATCCATATGAATCAGACTGTACTGGAAATCAGTGGAATGCTTGCTGAAATTGATATTCCAGAAATTGGAGAAATCATACTTTGTATTGCTTTAGTGCAAAAGCTAGATTAAAATCATGAATTAATAGAATGTTATTATATTGGCAGCCAGGGTACATATTGTGCTGTATGAAGTATAATTTTGACAGGGATGTTGATATTATATCACTGCAGATCCCAGAGCAGAGTGAACCGTTCCTGATAAAGTTGGTCTCGGTGACGGGAGGCGCCAGGATTGGAGCTCACAACACTGTCACTGTCACTATCATGGAGAACGATAAGCCCGTCTACATCGCAGGTAATCTACATATTATACTTTTCATTCTATAAATTGCCACTGAAATACATGTTTAAGTTTTAGACTACATTTCAGTCTGAAAGAGACTGTGTGAAATGGTGTGTTTTTACTCTTCACCACAAAAGAAATACACTAGAAGAAAAGAATTTTTATCAAAGTAAAGATCTACCATTGGAAGTACTATACAGGCACCTGACACAAAAGTGCAACCATACATAAATCATCTACACATTTTATAAAAACTGCCTATTACGGACACCTAGATCTTACATCCAATGAAACGCACCAAGTGAAGGTTTCAACATTTATAGTAAAATAATAACACTATCTATTATGCATGTATGTTTGCAGTAGGATTTTATTATATGTGAAAAACTGGAGAATAAGAAACATTGATTTGATGTGACGTTAATAATTGCACAGTCAAATGACATGATAAAGCAAACTGATGAATTATTCTGCAATGAACTTTACAGAGAATTTGATGTACTTGCCTAATGTTGAATATATCAAAACATGTACTGTCATCCTAGATTGTAGTAAAAAACTACTGTTTTGACAGTTTGCAACCTTTTTTATCTTGTTTGTTTCTACCTTTCTTCTACTATGCAGCTATTATGTTGGGTTTTGAGTCCATTCTGTACATGAGTGCGATTTTGATCCCAGTCATTCACTATCGTCCCAAACGGTCCGATGTAAACTTTGGTAAGGGATCGCCTTATAATATCACCTATTTTGGGCCTGAGGACATTCCCTTCATACAGTTTACTTACATCAACTCTATAAAATCTCTCCCTTGCTGGCTGTCGAAGTTGAGTATTTATGGTGTCTAGAGGTGTTGTCTTGCCAGAATTGTCTCCCCTTACATCATTGATCCTTGTGGTGGCTGTGTATTGTTTGCTTCATCTTGCCTTCAAGCTTCTACATATCTTCAATGGTGGTATTGGGATAAATTTCATTTAAGTTATCAACATATTAACACAAATCGGACGATACTATAAAAAGACAGACTACGTTTATCCAGATATTCTTTGTAAAAGACATTGCAAAATGTTTTACAGCTTTGTTTTAAACATAACATGATACTATTTTAAGGTTGAACAAATTTTTCTGTCAATTTCTGACAAAGAGTGATGCAATTGTGCTGTTTTTACAGAACATCCTCAGTTTTTGACATTGTGTATTGCGTAAGCAGCATCAACATCAGCTATACAACAATTATGATAATAACATTTAGGCTTATTACATTTACATATACACCCCATCCCTGGATGTTAAATTTTAAAGAATGCCACATCAACATAAGTTATTTTTGCCTTGGCATGTCACTGAGAGATTTTGTCGCCAATTTATTGTAACTTTTGTTGAAATACATCACATTATGCTTTGCCGATATTTTACAAATATCAGGACAGGACACACTGAAACTCATATTGTCTTCAACGTAAGTAATTTTGTTCACCATATGACATGGAACATAATTGATTTAATTGTGATGAATTGTGATGTCCATGGTGTGATATGTATTTAAATGGAATAGCCCTTACAAATAATATCAACATACTACATCACATTCTGGACAACTTTCAAATTGCATGGGAATAAACAGTGTGGCAAAACATGAAATTGTCTTAAAAGGGAATAAACAGTTTGGTAAAACATAAAATTGTCTTAAAAGGGGATAAACAGTGTGGCAAAACATGAAATTGTCTTAAAAGGGGATAAACAGTGTGGCAAAACATGTAATTGTCTTAAAAGGGAATAAACAGTTTGGTAAAACATAAAATTGTCTTAAAAGGGGATAAACAGTGTGGCAAAACATGAAATTGTCTTAAAAGGGAATAAACAGTGTGGCAAAACATGAAATTGTCTTAAAAGGGAATAAACAGTGTGGCAAAACATGAAATTGTCTTAAAAGGGAATAAACAGTGTGGCAAAACATGAAATTGTCTTAAAAGGGAATAAACAGTGTGGCAAAACATGAAATTGTCTTAAAAGGGAATAAACAGTGTGGCAAAACATGAAATTGTCTTAAAAGGGAATAAACAGTGTGGCAAAACATGAAATTGTCTTAAAAGGGAATAAACAGTGTGGCAAAACATGAAATTGTCTTAAAAGGGAATAAACAGTGTGGCAAAACATGAAATTGTCTTAAAAGGGAATAAACAGTGTGGCAAAACATGAAATTGTCTTAAAAGGGAATAAACAGTGTGGCAAAACATGAAATTGTCTTAAAAGGGAATAAACAGTGTGGCAAAACATGAAATTGTCTTAAAAGGGAATAAACAGTGTGGCAAAACATGAAATTGTCTTAAAAGGGAATAAACAGTGTGGCAAAACATGAAATTGTCTTAAAAGGGAATAAACAGTGTGGCAAAACATGAAATTGTCTTAAAAGGGAATAAACAGTGTGGCAAAACATGAAATTGTCTTAAAAGGGAATAAACAGTGTGGCAAAACATGAAATTGTCTTAAAAGGGAATAAACAGTGTGGCAAAACATGAAATTGTCTTAAAAGGGAATAAACAGTGTGGCAAAACATGAAATTGTCTTAAAAGGGAATAAACAGTGTGGCAAAACATGAAATTGTCTTAAAAGGGAATAAACAGTGTGGCAAAACATGAAATTGTCTTAAAAGGGAATAAACAGTGTGGCAAAACATGAAATTGTCTTAAAAGGGAATAAACAGTGTGGCAAAACATGAAATTGTCTTAAAAGGGAATAAACAGTGTGGCAAAACATGAAATTGTCTTAAAAGGGAATAAACAGTGTGGCAAAACATGAAATTGTCTTAAAAGGGAATAAACAGTGTGGCAAAACATGAAATTGTCTTAAAAGGGAATAAACAGTGTGGCAAAACATGAAATTGTCTTAAAAGGGAATAAACAGTGTGGCAAAACATGAAATTGTCTTAAAAGGGAATAAACAGTGTGGCAAAACATGAAATTGTCTTAAAAGGGAATAAACAGTGTGGCAAAACATGAAATTGTCTTAAAAGGGAATAAACAGTGTGGCAAAACATGAAATTGTCTTAAAAGGGAATAAACAGTGTGGCAAAACATGAAATTGTCTTAAAAGGGAATAAACAGTGTGGCAAAACATGAAATTGTCTTAAAAGGGAATAAACAGTGTGGCAAAACATGAAATTGTCTTAAAAGGGAATAAACAGTGTGGCAAAACATGAAATTGTCTTAAAAGGGAATAAACAGTGTGGCAAAACATGAAATTGTCTTAAAAGGGAATAAACAGTGTGGCAAAACATGAAATTGTCTTAAAAGGGAATAAACAGTGTGGCAAAACATGAAATTGTCTTAAAAGGGAATAAACAGTGTGGCAAAACATGAAATTGTCTTAAAAGGGAATAAACAGTGTGGCAAAACATGAAATTGTCTTAAAAGGGAATAAACAGTGTGGCAAAACATGAAATTGTCTTAAAAGGGAATAAACAGTGTGGCAAAACATGAAATTGTCTTAAAAGGGAATAAACAGTGTGGCAAAACATGAAATTGTCTTAAAAGGGAATAAACAGTGTGGCAAAACATGAAATTGTCTTAAAAGGGGATAAACATTGTGGCAAAATATGAAATTGTCTCAAAAGGGAATAAACAATGTGGCAAAATATGAAATTGTCTTAAAAGGAAATAAACAGTGTGGCAAAACATGAAGTTGTCTTAAAAGGAAATAAACAGTGTGGCAAAACCTAAAATTGTCTTAAAAGATAAACAGTGTCGCAAAACATAAAATTGTCTTAAAAGGGAATAAACAGTGTGGCAAAGCATAAAATTGTCTTAAAGGGGAATAAACAGTGTGGCAAAACATGAAATTGTCTTAAAAGTTCTTAATAAAAGCACAATGTTAGATTATTACATTCTAGATGGGATATTACCCCAGAAGCAAGACGTTCCATTTGGCTTAAACAAAAAATAAGTTCTGACCATTTTTGCACCATTTTACTCTATGGTAACATGACATCATTATTCATGCTCAGCCTCATTTTGTCTACCATTGTTATTCAAGGTTTTTCGGGAAGCAAATTGAACATTGATATCATGGGGTAATGATGTGTGATATTTAGCAAGAAATATATATTATATTTAAAGGACATTGTAGGTATGTAATAAAAAGAACACTACACCTATATTCCTCTGGCAACTCAAATTGTACTCGTAAAATAAATCAATAATGGCAGTGTCCTTATGCACTCTGAGACATCGAAAGAACACATATGTATAGTATTGCTAATTAATCTTTCAACCTATGATTTATCGTAAGGCTTATGTATACCTCCAACAATGAAAATGTATTAACAGTTTAAAACGATCAGTTCAATTATGATTTGAATATGTAAAGTTAATTTCTTAACTTAATATTATTAATAAAAACCTACTGATTTAACATCTATTTTAAGGATACATATATGATGAAGTTGTATGATACGTTGAAGGTAAGAAAATGTTTACTGGTACAATATATCATGTATAGAAAAGCAAACCTGAGTACGGTGAGATAGATTCAGGTCAAGTCAACAGAGATCACTTATTTTATATGAACCTGTTCATCGTTTCAGAGCCCCTTGTGTATACTGGTGAGCCGTCAGTGTTGACTATCCGAATCCGTCGGGATGGTGATGGGTCAGATGCTGCCAGCATGAAGTACCACACGTTGGACGGCAGTGCCACGGTTGCTAGCGGTGACTACAAGTCGGTGCCCCCGACTAGCCTCATGTTTGGCGTAGGTGAGATAGAGAAGGTAGTCAGTATAGAGGTACTACAGGATACACTGGCGGAAACTAACGAGACGTTCTACGTACTGTTCTACGACATTCAAGGTCAGTATTCTGACTGGGGCATATCTGTTTGACTTTTTAATTAGCTTATTTCACATACAAACATATTGCACTAAATTTGAAATGAACAATATATTTTACCCAAGGGGCAACACGCAAGAAACAATTTCGACACAAGCTCCCCGTTAACTCATGGTGTCGAAACTGCACCTCACCTACCAGTAGTTCAGACACTTGAATGTGACAAAATATTTTCTGCAGTCTCTTAAAATTTTGATGTTGAGAATTTCAGAAAAATCCTAAAAAAAAATAATTGGTTCCATTGAAGTATCTTGTCAGTAGTGTTAGTTTATTCTTTGTTCAGTTGATGTCATCTATCAATATTACACACTTATTTCATGCTTATGTAAACAGTAGTTTGAAATATTGGTCACCACGTGACCGTTCTAGGCCTATGGATGAAAATCGTTCCTGTCTGAGGTAAAATAGAACATTTCTCCCGTATTTATTACAGGAGACCTTGTGTTTACCGAGTCACCCAATGCTACCATTATTATACTGGCCAATGACAATGCTTACGGAGTATTTACCTTCAATCCACCTTACGAGAAAACCTCAGAAGAAGGAAGCCAGGTGGCATTTGAGTAAGTCTGAGACATTAGCGCAAATTTTGCAAACAAGTTTTCAAGTAATAGTAATAATGTATGTGCATGTGTTAGCATTTTCATGTATATTGGTCGTCAAATTACCCTTAATTTTTTTTTTTTTAAATCCCCTAGAAAACCAGAATGTGATATGTGAATCGGGCATTAAACATTTGGAGCTGTTCGTATCAGTACGACTTGTGTTACATCAACATGTAAAATGTTATATCTAAACACTTACATTATTTGCAAATTAGTGAAATGTTTGATTTGCAAATTAGTGAAATGTTTGATGGTGGCGAAACTGCCTGTATCTTTGAGCAAAACCACGGAAGGCCTGATGACGTCACAAATGTTGCTGCGTCACGTCATTCAGGCGTGTTTGCAACAATGTTTATTTATAGGCATTTCAGTCAAATCTTCTTCTGTACTGGTGCTCGTCGGCATTTTGATACATGTGTATTGGACAAATTATTAACTGAAACCCTTACTAATATGACTAATTTTCCTGCACTTACGTTAGTTTTACTGAAAGAGGCCGTCTTCATGAATGTTCATTCTACTTCAGAACTTTTATAATGATAAACAAAACCCCATTTATTGTCTCTGGTAAGAATTCTGTAACTGTACTAACTAGCTGAAAAATTAACAATGTAATCGATGAAGAAAACACTATTGAATGAAACATTTTATGTTATCTTTCTGGTGTTTAATGTACATGTAGGTTGGTAAAAATCCGCCAAACTTTTGTTGGTAGGATAATGTTATGTTTAAAGGTGTTTTTTTTGCGCTCCCTTTTGAGTTACATTGCCTTGTTCTTGCAGGGTCGGCCGATTGGAGGGAAGGTTTGGTGTGGTGGACGTCAACTGGGAGATCTACGACTATGTAACCAATCAGCTTCTACCAGACGGAGGTGACTTTGTCACCGCCAATGGGACGGTCCGATTCCAAGAGATGGAACTAGCCAAGATAATCTTCATCACTATTCGTCTGGACGGAGAGCCGGAACAAGACAAGAAGTTCCGAGTCTCACTTCAGTCAGCTATAGGTAAATGTGTGATCATTTTATACTACTAGTTAGCTATAGGTAAATGTGTGATCATTTTATAGTCAGTCATAAGTACCAAGTAATTGTAAAGTCACTTAATTTTAATTAAAATTAAAAACCTGGAAAATGTTTCTTCACCTAGGATTGGATGAATGCAACATTTCTTAAGCTGGCCTTTTTTTATATGCCCGTCAAATTTGACGGAAGTATTATGGTATGAGGTTGTCCTTCCGGTGTAGAGTTTTGTTTGTCGGGCAATCTCCTCCTACATTTTTCGACCGATCTCTTTGAAACTTGGTATACTTTATAATCATGATATGAAGTTGTGTCTCCCTTAAAAGAATTTTGATTCAACGATTTTCACAAAAGTGATTTCCCTTTGTTCATTTCAGTATTTGATTTTTTTGTCCGGAGATTTTCTCCTACATTTTTTATAGCATGTCAGCTAACCACTCGTAGAACGATGCAGATCTTATTTCAATGCACGAAAGTATATAACACTATATGGCATTCGACGGGCGTACTCTTGTTAGATACGAAATGTGTGTTTTTTGTCCCCCATATCATCCTGAATAAGAACTGAACTACGATTGAATGTGCAAGCAAATCACTCACAGTATAACAAAATTTGTAAAATACAGTTGTGGAAGGAAGGACTGATGAAGTACTAACTAGGATATCGGATACCAATAACGTAGCCATGTTGACCATCGTGGCCAATGACGATCCTTATGGCCAATTTGGATTCCAACTGTCATCCAAAAACGTTACCCTAGCTGAAGACTTTTATACTGGTCAGGAGAATCTATCCAAGGTCGTACTAACCATCGAGAGGAGACAAGGAATATTTCGAGACGTCATGGTAACTTGTGAATAATAGGATGTTGTTTTCAAGCTAGAAGTCCATACATCTTTGCATTTTCATGGTATGTTATGTGAAAATAAAAGCTTATGAGATGCCATATGAAATTGTTCAAAATAATATTGTCGATGAAGAATAGAAGGAGTTTCTTTGTCGTGTCCTCGGCCATATTTCACCATTAACTTGAGCGCAACATCAAAACGTGTCTATATCATGTTAGCCACACATTTATTCCCATCTACCACAGTATAGCAGTGGTACCCAAGTACACACAAAGTGGGTAGTACTAATTACCGGATCAGGTATATACATATGTAGGGATAAACACCGATCACTACACACTTCAAATCTTTTTGACTTATAAGTTGTACAATGTACAAAGTATTGGTGATAAGGTTTCCATATAAAGGAGGGACAGGTCCACCACTGCATTCAAAATGGTTTCCAATAATTTTTGTCGTATTACAGGTATCTTGGGAGATATTCTCTAACCATATGGCTGACAACTTTCCTAAAGTGTACGATCTGATTCTGCTGTCTACGAGAAGGAATGAAGTGATACTAACCCCGAGTAAACGACGTAACGGAACAGGGACTGACGTCATATATCTCACGGGGGCCGTCAGTAAGTGTTGTGGGTGATAGTCAATATTTTCCTCAGTGAAGACACAATTGGATTGTCCCATTAGATCCTATTGTTTTTCTAAAGCAAACATACTGTAATAATGTTTCTGTCATGCACTTTCCCAGAAGATAGTTTTCACTTGCTTGGCAGCTTGAAAAACAAAATTAAGACACCATAAACCTGCACATTTATTTCCTTTCTGTAAATGGCAGCTGACAACTTATATTATAGTGTTGCACAGTATTTTAATGGTATGAAATAGTTCCAAGAACAAAATTGTGAAAGTCTCTTCCAACAAAGTAAAAGTGCTATTCACTATTATAATAGTATCTATGTCACCAGTCTACTTTTGAGTCAGAACAAACTTTGTGTTTATGGCATGGACCAGTTATGGGCAGTATGTTATAATGGCATTTTTTGTATTTGTATAACATTACAAATCTATTGAAATACAGTAAAGAGAATCATGAATACTAAATTCCGAATTTATGTACAGATAACTACCTGTCGGTACCAACTGAGCAACAGCCCACCGCGGCAGAGATATCGAAAGGTTTTGGGATCAGCGCCTGGTTACAGCCCTTCTCTAGCATCAATAGCTACATACTGGCCAAGACCACTGCAGACGGTAGTCGCTTCTTCTATACCCTGAGGGTAGTTACGTCTCCAGGAGGAACCATCTTCAGACTGGGATTCTCATTAACAGGGAGTAGTGTGAGTATCTACTAACTACTCGACAATGATATGTACCACATGTATAACAACTATCCAAAGGTCAACAGGACAATTACAGGTATGAGGTCAAACTCATCACCCCAAGGTCACAGGTAAAATGTCAAACTAATCATCTCAAAGTCAACATCACAATTACAGATAAAGGTCAAAATCATCATCATAAGGTCAACATCACAGTTACAGGTAAAAGGTCAAACTCATATATAAACCCAAAGGTCACAGGTAAAATGTCAAAATCATCATCTCAAAGTCAACATAACAATTACAGATAAAGGTCAAAATCATCGTCATAAGGTCAACATCACAGTTACAGGTGTAAGGTCAAACTCATATATAAACCCAAAGATCACAGGTAAAATGTCAAAATAATCATCTCAAAGTCAACATAACAATTACAGATATAAGGTCAAAATCATCATCATAAGGTCAACATCACAGTTACAGGTATAAGGTCAAACTCATATATAAACCCAAAGGTCACAGGTAAAATATCAAAATTATCATCTCAAAGTCAACATAACAATTACAGATAAAGGTCAAAATCATCATCATAAGGTCAACATCACAATTACAGGTATAAGGTCTAACTCATCAGCCAAAGGTCACAGGTAAAATGTCAAAATTATCATCTTATTGTCAACAATTAAAGGTAAAGGTAAAAATCATTATCTTAAGTTCAACATCACAATTACAGGTGTAAGTTCAATCACCCTAAGAAGAATGTACATGTCCAAAAGCTGTGTCTGAGCATGATTGTCTAGTTAGTTAAAGATAAATTTGAAGATATATTTGTTTCATCAATGAATGGTGTGTCTCATTGGTACTATTGTTAGGTCCTTTAATACTTCTTAATTCTCCAGTGATCTAGGAAACCAGATTTTTATCTTCACTTAAACACAGAAATAATTTCAGATAGACCTCAGTTTAGCTGTAGGACTGTCACATCCATCATGCACCCTGCAGTGTAAGTGATGTCACAAAGTTGAAAATATTAAAAAAACATCATAAATGTTTATATGCATAAGAGGGATTTTACCAAGCAACCTTGCAGTCCCAACGCTTAAGTTAGGATCTATTCAAAGTTGTAATCAGCAGTTTGGGATATTCTATTAATTACGTTTATATGTCATGAGTTGACCACATTTTGTATCTGTTAATGTAAACTTATGTCCAACCTTACTTGGAAAACTGTATCTGTAACATATATATATAGTGATATGATAAAAAAAATAATCAATGTTACGTTTTTCTGCAGAGCAACCAGGAAGTATCAGTAACCACAGAGACGAGCATACAAGACGGAGCGTGGCACCACCTGGTGGTGTCGATTGATTCAGGGACAATCCTTTTCTACCTGGATACTAAGCTCCTCGGTACCAAGTGAGTTGTACACCAACAAAAACATTTTGTCCGCCTTGAGAATTTGTCTCCAGTTATCTTATTCTCTGAATGACTTGGTGAAATACACTTGTACTTTGTTAAATTTAAGTTGTCCGATATCAATAAACATTTGTATTGAAACAAATACTTACTAAATGTCAAAGATGTTTGATGTCTTTTGTGTATGTGGACTTTTCAATAAACAAATTTGAATTACAGGTTGATAGGGAGTATCCAGTCCATGATAGACAGTACAGGTACCCTACTTATTGGGGCTATAGCTCCGGGGAGTGACCATTTCATAGGCTACCTACAGGATGTCCGGCTGTATGCTGGTAAACTGGACTTAAGGTACTTCACAGGAGACATTTCAATTTCCCACCAGTACCAAAAAAACACTTGCTAACATGTTCTCTTGCTAGAAGGGATGAAAGATCAACAAAGAGTAATTTGCTTGGTCGGAATTACCATTGAAATGAAATGTCATTGTCTTGAAAAAAAGTATATTATATTGAAGAATAAATTTTCTGATGTTACATTATTCTTATGACAGATATTTCTACAGATACAAGATTAAGTGTTACACTAAATATAAATAGTAAAATTCATCTTTTGATATTTAAATACTAGGTTAAATTCTATTTAAAAAATCATCCACCTTATCACTTGATATTGTATTTAACACATGATGTGAACATTGTTAAAATGATATTACATCTGTGTTATTTAGTGGAGTTAACTACTTTATAGGTTTTCAAATCCACCAAAATTGTTTGTCCGGCAATCTCCTCCTACATTTTTCGACCGATCTCTTTGAAACTTGGTATACATTTTAATCATGATATGAAGTGGTGTGTACCTTAACAGAATTTTGATTCGACAATTTTTGCAAAAGTTCTTTCCCTTTGTTCATTTCAGTATTTGAATTTTTGTCCGGAGATTTTCTCCTGCACTTTTTTATAGCATGTCGGCTAACCACTCTTAGAATGATGCAGATCTTATTTCAATGTAAGAAAGTATATAACACCATATGGCATTCGACAAGCGTATGTTGTTCCGCCCGTGGTACTCTTGTTTAACCATGTAGAAGAATATTTTTGGGTCTTGTAATACTGTGCCAAAGGTTGTTATCCTGATATATTGAGTACGATGAAGATTCAGTCACTGTGCTTACTTTCTTCCCATATAGCCACTTGATGGAGCTATACAACACCCCAGCAGCTGCAGACCTGACCCCTATCTCGGGTTACTTGTCTTACCGCCAGGGAGTGAGCTCACAGGACATTACCATACAGACAGTCCAGGACACCATCGACGAACAGAACGAAGTGTACAAAGTCAAGCTTCTCAGTGCCAGTAACGGAGCATCACTTTCCCTGACCGACAGCTCTTCACATATCACAGGTAAGGTTTCTACTACCGACAGCTCTTCACATATCACAAGTAAGGTTTCTACTCCTTTGACAAAGTGTTGTCATTAGGTTCAAATAATCACCTTACCTTACAAATTATTGGAGTCTTTGTGTTATCATTGACGCACTAAAACTATCTTATCTGCTTTTAAAGCTAACGTCAAATTTTTAATATCTTTGATCATATCGAAAATTTCTATGCCATTAATCTTCTGCTGGTTTTCATAGTTAATTGTTTATTTCAATTAATTCTATTTTGAAAATCAACACCAGCACAATTCTGTATTAGATCATAAACAAACATTGAAAAGTTACAGACATTTCTGAAAAGGATAAGAAAGTGTATGAACATAATGTTAATTTGAGAGTTATACTATATTGCCCATTACTTTTCTTTGTTTTCTAGTCCTCAAAAGTGACAATGCCAATGGCCAGTTTGGATTCAATCAGTCATGTGTGCCTGCAGTGGCGGCTTACGAGAATGCCACGGTGTTGTGTTCAGTGGACCGTAACAAGGGCAGTGATGGGACGGTCAATGTCACCTGGACAGTGTTCCAGCTTCTCCAAGGAGGCAACCAAACTGAAGCGGTCAACGACTTTATGGCCAGTACTGGTGTTCTAACGTTTTATCCAGGCGAAAAGTCAAAGGTAGAGATGCTGAGACCTGTTGTTTCTATCTGCTCTGTTTAGTTGTCATTTTCTGTATAAGGGATATTTTTGTGAGTCATAAGCATATGGGTGAAACAGAGACTACAGCAATTAAGAAGTTAATTACCCTCCCGCCACTATGTTTATAATCATTTTGCCTCTCTGTAAAATATCATTTTAAATAATAGCCCTTTATGGAACCTTTTATTCTCAAAATATAAATATGGACATTTTTGATAATTCTGGAAAAGAATTGTACATTTCATACCAATAGAGAGGAAAGATTGATCATTTTGTATTTACCATAAGGAAATCATGAACACCTTTGAAAAAAGAATCCGTTCCAGCAGAAAACCCAGTAATAATCACATAATAACAGATGAAATAGTTAACATGGTTCACAAAGATGTCAGAGTGAGATATAGACGTAGGAAAGTTGTTAGGCTTCAGGTCAGAGGTCAGGGTCTCAGGAATGTTTTTGCACCTTCAAAATAATAGATAAGATCCATAAAAATTAAGTATGTAAACAAAGAAGGCTAAAAATTGTGCTCAAGATTATTTAGTTGACAATAAAAATGTCCTTGACATTGTATAAGTGTTTTATGTAACATTTCACTGAAAGATCTGTTCTTGACATTGTACAAGTGTTTTATGTAACATTTCACTGACAGAGATGACCTTGCCACTGTACAGGTGTTTTATGTAACATTTCACTGAGAAAGATGACATTGACACTGTATAGGTGTTTTATGTAACATTTCACTGACAGAGATGACCTTGCCACTGTACAGGTGTTTTATGTAACATTTCACTGATAGAAATGATCTTGACATTGTACATGTGTTTTATGTAACATTTCACTGATAGAAATGACCTTGACATTGTATAAGTGTTTTATGTAACATTTCACTGATAGAGATGACCTTGACATTGTACAGGTGTTTTATGTAACATTTCTCTGATAGAAATGACCTTGACATTGTACAGGTGTTTTATGTAACATTTCACTGATAGATCTGTACTTGACATTGTATAAGTGTTTTATGTAACATTTCACTGATAGATCTGTACTTGACATTGTACAGGTGTTTTATCTGGAAGTGCGAGATGACATGGTACCAGAGGCTAAGGAGACATTCCACATTAAGTTGGTGGGTGTGACGTCGGGTGATGGTATCTCGGGTACAACCAACACCAGTGGTGCCAGCATCAACCCTTTAGCAGCCTTCTCCAACTTTGCCGTAGAAGAAAATGATTACACCTACGGTTTGTTCCAGTTCTCCACTGAGTCAACTCCACCATCTCCAGCTGGTGGAGTGATACCACCTGCTACAAACAAACCAATGGTAAGCCTGCCTTATTTCCACACTCTGTATATTTTGTAAAAGTGGATTTCATTTCAGTAATAATTACCATAAATTTAGTATGCATATACAATACCTACACCCATCTTTGTAGCCCAAAAACAAAAGATTCAAATATCCCTACCTCCCTACCGTGACGTAACCTCTATCTCGATGACAGAGCCACGGAGTGATCTCCCTTCCTCTTCCTTTTATGGCGCCTGCTGCATGCTGACGCACAGAGCTTGCTCCAATTCAAAACTTTGTTTTGTCGGTTTGGTTTGAGTGTCAACTCATATTTTTGCGCAGTTTGTGTGCCTTTTACCCATCTGC